ATATTGTCAATCTTGTTTTTGTTTTACCCGAACTTGACCGTAAGACCAAGAGATTTAAGTTAGAAGGACATTTCGTAAAGCGTAAACATCGCAAAGGTATCTACTTAGTATGCGAACTCCCCTCTGCGTAGCTTAGCGTGATTCGCTGGTTAAGTGTGAAAGCATGACGAAGGTTAGAGATTGACAGCTCCGTAGGTGTCGCCTTTATAAGCGGTGACCCTCACTTTCCTAGAGAGATCGGAGCTAGTCCCCGTTGTAATAACTTGAGTAGTGAGAGTGAATAGAGAAAGAGACAACAAAATAACGAGTGTTAGGAGATTATTTCTAACAGTATATGATTTCCCAGTTTGCACTTTGAACAATTTTCAACTCGGGGTAGAAACACCAAAACCAAAGTAATCACTACGGCCATTTAGAAAAAAGGTTATCATCATCATTAGCCAACGCAAACTGCACTGATCATGATAATTAGCCAAGAAAAACTGTTTGAAACCCAGGAAAATGCGAGTCATTAAGTCGCGATTGGTTTCAGTCTTGTTATTCACTAGTTGAGAGTGTGGTTAGAATTCTCTTTTCTCGACCAATCACAGAGTGAAGTAAAGCAAACCCGAAGCAGTTGCCGATTTATGCGATACCACTTTATAAGACAATTGAGGGTCTTGCTTACCTCTTCTACATCTAGTTCAACTGAAGCACTGGCTCCTGTTTTTGTAAATAATAAAAAAACTTTCCGATCATCTCCGGTAGCAAGGAATAATTTTGCTTGCAACTTGCAAACCTCCACGTGCTATTTTGTAAGTTACCAAATGAAGGGTTTTTTTCCTTGACAATTAAAGAAGAATTACCCTCTTCTCTTAAACATGCACCAGATGTTGCGATGCAATATCTTTCAGTAACTTGCAGTGCTAACGATGAATATTTTTGCAAGCTAGAAGGAAAATTGCCCTCTATTTTTGCGCGACTATAAATCAAATACTCCTGACTAAGGATTGCCAACCACAAAAACCTTCCTAATTATGATAAAATTGTGGTGTCTTGAGATAAAAAAATTAAATCTCACTCCCACAAATCTCAAGCTATCTTGACTGACGTCCAAGTCAAATTTAAATTCAAGATATCACTTTGCAAAGTAAAGAGGTACTATCTTTCATTAGTGATATGTAGATGTTGTTGGTACAATCTTAGACCGAAGACCAGTTCATTGTTTGTGTTAAATATAGAAATTAAAGCACTTGAAGTTTAAGTTGAAACCAGATTCTAAGTTTCAAACACAAACCTGGTAACAGTTCCCTAAAGTCTGTTATATAGTCTCCAGTCCACTCCCGAGTCCTGTAGATGAGAAACATGTCATACCATCTGTATTTTTACAAATACCAAAGAATTAAAAGAGACCCTTGTTTTGAGTTAATTAATTCATAATAAAGCAGAGGTTTCAGTATTATGATATTCTTATTAGTTGATATGCGTTGAAATTGCCAGAACTTTCATTTAGCAAATGACTTCTGGGTCTAAATAAGTTTTCTTTTCACCAGTTTGTGGTTGTTTTTAGAGAAAGTGTATGAAGAACAACCACCTCCTGGTTAGCTCAATTAGAGCGCTGGACTGTTGTGTGGGAGGTCGAGGGTTTGAGCCCTGAATGGACCAACACTCAAGGTCTTAAAATAACTGAGCAGAATGTCCTACCTTTCTATAATGTCAAGAAATGGATAGACATTCTAGTCTTCTCGGAAAAGGACGAATAAACCGTAGGCCCCATCTCCTGCTTCTATTAATTATTCAATTTGGTTAGGCAGGGGATGTTAAAGAACCCACTCACAAGATTACTGTGAAGTGGTTTGGCCTGTTTACTGGGAATTAAGGGGGGGGGGGTCAGGCCTTGTCATTGTTAACACGGGATCCACTGTAATTGGCTAAAGCTGTAGTGGTCTCTCTGCCTGAGATAATTAGGCAAAGCTAAATAAATAAATTAAGAAGAATCTTTGAGTTTCCTAGCAGCTTTCTTTTCACCACTTTCTTTTAATATATTATGAAAAAAAGTATCTTATTTTTCAGGACAGCATATGCAGGAATATAGAGATTTTCTCCAAAATGAAGAATAACCAGAAGAAAAAAGGGAATTGGAAATAAGTCTCTTGAATAACATGAATGCAAAATGTCATAAATCAATCACTTTTGAATATTTCAAAGAGGACCTTAAAACCTATGCACATTACTTCCTGAAGGCTGAGCCTATCATCTGTATAATGAAGTAAAGGCTTAAATCTTGTCATACCTCAAACAGGCTAATTCCATTTCAAAAGGAGTAACTATTGGTTTATAAAACTCCTGTAAGACATAATAATGATACAAATTTAACAAGAAATACTGAAAATTTTAATTACTCTTACTAGCAGTTTTGAAAGACTTGAGGACTGAAAGAAGAGGATCAATAATTTTTGCTGTACCTGGGAGTCAATCAGGGTGTTTTCAGGGCATGCCACCAACACAAACACATCCACCTCCATAAAGTTGGCCATTTTTGCCACATTAAGCTTTCCCATGACAAACAAATAGGACTGAAATAAAATAGAGCATTATCATTTTCACCACTCTAATTATGCTTGTTCATAATTGTAAACAATGTTATGATTCTGAAAAAAGGAATGGCTATGTGATGACTGAATTGATAGGACTCTGGGCTGTAGACTGACAGGTTGAAACTTGTAAGCCAGGGTGTTAGGTTCATTTTTGCTGTATGATGTTCTTGGGTAAGATGAAATCAGTCCCACTGTACCAGTAAACTGTCAAGGAAACCTGGATACCCTGTGATGAACAGGCATCCCACCCAGAATAAATAACAAGACCCTCTGGTCACTATAAGTTAAAAAATATCAGAAAAATAAATGGACCCTTTCTCTTCCAATATATAAATGTCAATTATCTAGTAACCATCTTCAACACAATGCTTTTAATTTCAGCTGTGAGAATTTGTCATTGAGTTTTTCAAATTATATCCCCTATATATCTGCAACTCCAGACCAATAAATGTTAATATATCATATGGTTTTTCCTTTGCTCAATGTACATCCCAGGCAGAGGACTTTTCTTAAATTGTTTATTCACTCAAGAATTACTTACCTTTTTTCCTGCAAGCTTTATGACTTGCTTCAGTCTTTCAATAACTCTTAAGTAATCAGCTGAAAAAACAAATTAAAATGTTTAAATCTTAAACTAATTTGGAAGGTACACAAAAGGTTCCAACCCATAATATATTAACTGTATACTATTCTATATGCTGTTTTAACACACTAAAATATCCCTTAACTGCTTTCTTGAATAATTATTTATTGCAAAGGCAGATGTTTAAATTAAAAGATACCAAATCAAAGTCTCCCCTGTGATTGTGTCTTCATTTTAACTACAAGAATTTAAAATTTCAATAATTATGTACCATGGTTTCCAAGCTGAGTCACTCAAAACATAATTTTAATAACAAAGACTACCCTAGCTGCACAAATAAAGCTAGCTAATTATTAGTTGCCATCTTCAATATTTAACCATCATGATGATAACCTGAAGTCCTCTGTAATCATAGGTCAATCGCACTGTTACCTACCCACTCCTAATGTTCCCACCACTATTCCAACTACCTGAGCATCTTTGGCTCGTTGTATCATGTAATATCTGTGGACAAGAGACAATAAAATATAGGATTTCTTGATGGACAGTGAAAGCATATGTAAGAACAGTTTCATTTAAGCTCAAATGCTATCCCAATGAATCTTTTGAAAGCCAGAATTTATCATTTACCTTTTCATTAGTGCTTTATTCACATTCAGAGTCTCTTTTCTGCCAATATTGGTGCAAGGATCATATGAATAGAACTATCAGAGGAAAGAGTGGTTCTTATATTAATACTGAAGAGGAGCTTGAGTCAGCATAGAGTTTACTGTATCACAAGTAATTGATGATTTTGGGGGCTGAGGTGGAAGGGAGGGGAAGATAACTTGATCGTCAAAGTTGATAATGGTAATTGTAGTAAGAAAGTCACAAGATCAATAAAATCCTTTAGGGATTCAGGATCCATAGTCTTTTACATTTAAGACAGGGGAGTATATCAGCTGAATATTCAGTGAGACTTTTCTAGAGTCTCTCTTTCCCCAGGAGTGCTGGCCAGAGTGTAAAGAGAAATGTAAGGCTAGACTCTCATTTCAGCTGTTTAGTCCTCTCCTTGATCCTCTGAGAAGGATTAGAGGAGTTCAAGTAGGAGTGTAGACTCATGTCCCAAACAGTGGCTGGCAGTTTACCCCAATGAGAGAATGAGCCAGCAAATTCTGATGGGAGGGAAGGCTGTGATAGACAGTTTCTCCTATGTAGCTTTTGTTTCCATAAATTCATTGTAAATGATACCTGACATTTGTTGTAAGTCATCATCAAATTCTGCAAACACAAACTTTCACCACCAATGTAAAATACAGCAAAGTCCTCCAACTGTGTATCAGCAGGAAGACTAAATTCACGTCCAAACCTGAAAATGGAAAAAAATTAAATTAGCCCTAACCATGCTTGACAATACTACAGTTACGAATGTCAATGTAGAGCAGGGTTTTTCCCAGACAAAATTCAGGGTCATCGGTAACAGCAACAAACTGATTTATTTCCATGTAGTTGACTTCTTGACTTTACAGCACTAAGCTTCTTCACACTTCTCTCTTTTGAACAAAACTATCGCTCTTATATACATAAAGTCCAAGGATCTAGAAACTTCTCTAAAGAACTAAATTTAGTAGTACAGCTCGTTTGTGTTCAGTTGCAACTAGACTGACTGAACACAAATGAGCGATGAGGAAAGGCTGCCAATGTCAACAATCACATTGCTGAACATCACCGACTTACGAACCACACTATTGACTGGGACTCTGCGCAATGCCTAACCTACAGCACTAACTACTTTCAACTACTGACCCTGGAAAGCTGGTTTACTAACTTGGAACAGACTCCCCTCAACAGGTGTCAACCACTACCAGCACCATACAAACGACACATCCACAACATTAACATTACAAACGAACCGAACAGAACAACCTAACTTCACTAATGGATCCAAACCGACCAATCACAACTGACCTACGCCACTTGAATTTTACAGCCAATAACATCACGGCAAAACTGACCAATCAGTGTACACAAACTGGACTAAGTACATTCAACTGACAACAACCTTTCAATGGACTCTGGTGATGACTTTCGCTCAGGTTGTCGAAACGTCAGTCACCACTACTGACAACAGTCCTTCTCAGGACTACACTCACCCAAACTATCAAACTACACTATTACATAAATTTAGCAGGTTAATATGGTTTCTAAACTTGAATAATTACATAAGAAATAGAATGTTCGAGAATGTTCTCACACCAGAAGGTCACATCTGGATGACTTCTGGTTCTAGACTGTTCTATAGAATGTTCTAGGACTTAACTTAGACAATTCTTTGTAACAACTACAGTAGAGGACTCTTTATTTCTACAATAGAGGTCTTTCAACCAGATATGTTTTTCATGACTGTGGACTAAAAGCTTTATCTTAAAGAAAAGTTGAAACCAGAAGCATGTCCTGGGGCAAATACAGAAAAGAATTCTCATATATTCTTGAATTTTGCAATGGAAGTTTATCTTTCTGTGTCAAAGTCCTTCTGGGAAAGTTTTCCTTTTGACAAATCATCACTTTTAACTCACCTACAAAAATAACCATTTTTATCATGCTGGACATTCCCATGTTCTTCAAGTGAAGTCATTTCAACATCTGTTTGCAAAGGTTCAGCTGATAATGGTGTTTCTTCCATTGTTTTGCCTTGGGAATTGAACTCATCAGCAGTTTGCTTATTACCTTGAGATAGTTCCCCTTCTTGATCAAATGTGGAGCAGATGAGCTTTGTGAATACCACATTAGGGTAATTCCGTTTGATAGAATTCTGCAATTCTTCTAATAAATTAAACAGGAAAAAACCCCAGCCATAAGCCTATAGTATCACCTAAATCCCTTAACTCCCAGAACCTGAGAGCAAATTCTTCCAAAAGATGACAACATGACATGGTGTGTAGACTTATAAACTAGACTTTAAATTTACCACATATTTACAAACATACTTTATTGGCTCATCCCTATGGGGCTTTTCAGAGTCAATGTTACATTACAAACATAAAGTGCTTGAAAATCTAAACTGGCAGGAGGTAGACCAGTTAGCTATTTACACAGTGTGGCTGAAGAGTTGAACTCAGGGCAATCAAGAACAATTCCAGTGAGTAGCAGGGTGGATGGTTTAAGTCCAGGACCACCAGATTACAAGTCCAGCACCCTGATCACTTGGGCACACCACATCCATTTGGTGATGCTGTTTCCACACAATATTTCAGGTGATGATCATACATTTTCCTTACCCATACAATGACTGTACACCACATCACAAAACACAATCACTTTGACTTCAGTGTCTGGAAATAATTGTCCAAATTGTTCCAAGCAACTCTGACCATTGATTGGCCATTTACCAAAAACATGCAACACAGGAAGTCGCCGAGTCCTGTTCACAGACACAAAATGAACCATTAATTTCTTTCGCTTCTGAGAATTTTTGTTGGAGATGGAATGCTTCTTTCAAGGGGGGCTACTTAAGCTTTAAATCAGGCCAAACAAAAGTTTTTCATAATATTCTTTTAACACCTCAAATACATAATTATTTAAATCTTGCTATATTTTATTTAGAATATTTGTCACAACAACAAGCCCCATGTCACTGAAAACAAACAACAACTTAATTAAAAAAAGGCAACTTAAGTCAGTGTGCTAGCCATCAAGTTACTATACATTTCAGCCACTATAGTAGGATAATTTCCGGTTATGCACCTAGCAGTTTTATTTCATTTACTTACTGGCTTAAACAAGCTCTGCCGTAATGAATGATAAGATCTGCCTCAATGTGTTCTGCAGCAACTTCATCAACACAGCAACTAAAGCCAAAAACAAATAATCAAATAATTACTGTGCAAAGGAATAAAATATTCTTAGCACAGTATGCATGAAAAAAATAAGTGACTTTTTTTCTGTTTTTCTTGCTGAACTATTCAATTCCCAAGATCCGATTTTTAGTTTCTTTTCTACATGTTAAAAATTTTGTTATAAATTAGGCAAGGGAAGCTTAAGGTCTCATTCATTGTCACTATCTGGCTTACACTTGTTAACAAGCTTACAGTTCTTCTGTTGTCTGCACACCATACTCTTTTACACTAAGCTTCCTGTGGAAGATTGCACAGTTGGTAATTATCCCAAAGTAATCATCTCGTGTTGTGAAGTAATTGGCAACAAGGATGCAAACATGTGGGACAAATCTATCTGAAATTATTTTAAAAACCTGTGGGAAACTAATGATTATACATTACTGTTTGTCATCCAGTCTATCCTCCAGTTTGTTACTACAACAAGAGGACAAAGTGGAGGTATACAAAGCAACTAATTTACCTTCCATATGAGGTATCAGCTAACACAAACACTTTCTTTCCAGTGAACTTTTCAATCAATGAAGAAACAGCAGCTGAATCGGTTAACAGTGAGTCTGGAAACTGGAGTGCAATCTGAAAACATGAAATTCTGTGTATTGTACACTGGGTTTTGTTCTGTAATATGGCATGTGCATCTTAGCTTGTAATATGATGTGCAACTATTGCAATAATAATAAAAATGAAAATAATAACAATAATGATGATGATGATGATGATGATGATGATGACAATGATAAAAATTTACTTGTAAATTGAACCAGATGATGAAAATTGAGGAAAACACATAAAATAAAATAAAAATATGTCCATGGCCAGTTTCTTGCAGCAAACTCTCCAAAACGCTCCCAAAAAAACAACGGATCAAAAGGGGAAGGAACTAAATCAGACTGACTCCTGACAGCGAATATCATTATTGTGATCAAATTGTTTTAACTTCTTGTTGATGTAATTTTCAGACACGACTTGGAAAGTACTAAGATCAACAAGAGATCATCATTTACTCAGCTGAGAATGTTCGTTAAAAAGAGTCAACGAAAAAAATAAAAATGGAAAAAAAAATAAATGAAGAAGTGAGCAAGGGCGTGTTAACTTAATTTGTTTGGGACACAAACACGCAAGTGGCCTCAGACCTGAGGAAGAGACTTACCTTTTGAAAGCCAAGACTCTTTATAACATCCGTGCACCTCGAAATTTCATAAAATTCTTCTTTGTTATTTTTACTACAAACAGTATCATTAGTAACATTTACTGTCCTTTCTATGACTTCTTTTTCACCACCACTAAACTGTAGCGCAGATAAACTAGCTGAGTCCGCCATTTTGGTTTTAGTCTATTACACCACACACCTATCATTTTGGAAAACATACCACTGACCTAATCTGAATCAGACGGCCATATCGAAGGTCGCCCAGTTTCGCCTAGTTGTAGGTAGCGTACCATAGGTAGCATTCTTCACAACACATTGGACATGCAACCATGCAATGATTTTTCAATCGAGCACACGACTTGAAACCAATTTTCACAAGATTCTTTAAAAATACGGCATTCTTCTTTAATGTAATCAGGTTTCTTAGCAAGTCACGCGATCCCATGAGAAGAGCGCGACTTTATCACCAAAGGCACAATTACTGAGAATTGTTTTTCAAAAGTCTTCAGGTTTCAATTTTTAAGAGGCACTCTTCACGATTTCTCATGTTCATGTGTAACGTATTGTTATCTTATCTCAGCAGGCGACTGTTCTTAAAAAAAAACTTTGCATGACTTTCTGTTTGTATTTCGAATTGTTAACTAAAAGTCACGGAAGAATCGTTAGACTTTAAAGAAAATCAACAAACATTTCTAGCTTTGACATATCAAGCAAGCGTTGCTTGTAATAAAGAAGCTCTTGTGTGTGCTCTAATTGTTTTGAACTCGATGTTTGAGTGATCTTTTACTTGAGTAGAACAAAAAAAAAAATCGTTCCGTTCCAGATAGAGCTCAAATTAACGGAAAATCATGCATGATTCGAAATGGTCTAGAACCGATCAAGAAATGTTGCACGTAACCAAGAGGGTTGGAAATGGAAAATCACAAAACAATTTCGAGCAAAAGAATTCTAAAAAATTGTGAGTCGCTCGAGTTCTTAAGCTGTCTTGAAAATACTCTTTCTCATTACCTTTAAAACGAAAGACACTTGATGATAAAATTGCTTGATCAGACAGCTTTATGCTAAGCAAGTGAAGTGCACCTGAGATCCTCTCGCTTTCTGTTGACAGTAAATGGGCAGAACGCGGACCCTGATCTAATCAGTGATCCTTGACAACACGAGATCACAAGATCCTCTATGAATTTTGAAGTGTTGTGTCAAGAGCTTTGTTGTTCTCATCGTCTACAGACTTTTTTAGGTTAAATCAAAAAGTTAAAGCTCTTATTCCCGGATTTTTCCTAATATTTCCCTCAATTAACCTCATGTTTGCTGCAAAAAAATGACGACTCTTCAAATAAATGAAGAAGGGGGCTGTTCGTAAAAGACAAGAAAAGAGCGGAACTATGCGAAGAACTTAAGCATGTCAACGCTTACACAGACAGAATTCTGAAGTAGTGCATAAATCATCATTCTCGAATGGTAATGAAAATCATTCATCGCGAAAACTCATGTTGTGAGACAATTTGCAAAAATTTGCAAGTCATTCCTGAGTTTCAGTCCATTGTGTTCTCGCCTTCTTCTTATCAGAGCAACGCCGATTTCCCGACTAACTCTTCCCTCCCCTCCCCCCCTAAATTGACCACATTTTCGAAGGGGGTTAAGTGCAGGTTGGGCAAGTGTCCCCTTTCACTCCCACTTGTAACTGATCGCAGGGAGTGAAAATAACAGAGTGAGCACAACAATTCGCGACAGCTGAGAGATTTTGAGGTTTAATATTTACTTTGACAGGAGCCCAAGTAATGGACTCCTGTTGTGACAATGATACATTACAAATGATTTCTTCTTTAGGTCATTGAGCCTATACTTTATCATCTTTAATTTCTCCCTGGTTTAATAAAAATTATAGTTGCTCTTTTCGTGCATTTAAAATATGGCAATCAATAGAAGCAATAAAAGATATATGCATTGTTCACCACGCTTGCTCGGTCAATGTGGCTGGGTTATTGGCCGAATTCTTTTTTACGTTCAATGGACCAAAAGGAGATCGAGTTTCATAGAAACGCAGAAAAAAAAAAAAAAAGGAAGGAGGCTAAAATCCCCCATCTTGACCGAACAAGTTTGAACAACAACATGGCCAAAAAAATCGCTTTAATAAGAATCAAGAATGACTTGTTTCTTTCAAGAAAGCCACCTGTGTTTATAGTACAGTAAATCCATGTGAGTCTTTTATGTTTTCTTTGTATTGACTGTCTTCTGCCGCTTTTTGCGACTCCCCTGATCGCCGGCATTGTCCGAAAGTTGCGAGCTTTGTAAGACCGCTCCACGCAATTATCTTCTTGCGCGGGATCGAAGCGGGCAGTACCGAGCGGGCAAGCTGGCCCACATTGCCTGCTCAGGTAGCCAATCAGAACATAGCATTTACTTCGTTTTGCCCACGGACGCTGCCAGCTATATAACAAATGGAAATATATAACGAGGAAACGAGCCACCCGAGGGGACAGAGTAATGTCAAGAGAGGATAAAGTTTATGCTTCATTCTCTCTTGGTAATGCCTAGATCGGGAGCTGGCCTCTCTCAAGACTGTGTTAATTCAGCAGTTTGCATAGAGGCTCATTTTCACACGTAAAAGCAGAATTTTACCGTCAAGCTGATCGTGGGTAGGGTTTTCCGTTCACAAGAAGAGAATATTGATATTCTCTTGTTGACGAGAAACTGTAATTTTTTCCATATAACGCGCGCAAGAAAAAAAGAAACGTCTTATACGTTTCTCTCAAACTCGTAGCGTCATAACTTTGTCTCCCACTATTCATCACTTCATGAACTTAAGACATTGGCAATTTTTCAAAAGGGGAATTATAGCCGTTCATAATTACTGACCGGTTTTACAGGGTATTAAGTTGCCAGTCTGTAATATCCGGATAATGGCGCACGAAAGATGTGATATCATGAGCATCACTTTATCTTACAAATGATTAGTACTTTAAACCAAAATCGACCAGTTCAGCTGTAAATGAGAGACTTTTAAAATCTGTTTTTACTAGTAACGAAGTTGTTCGGCGAATCTAAAATTCGATTAGAGTAATAATAATGAAAAAGCCAGCTTAATGTTCGTCCAACTGGCACCTGTCTGTCACCTGTTGAATGCAGTCTGTTGGTTCAGTAATGAATTATTCTTCAGTATTCAACAGGTACTGATCAACAACTCTATAATTCATTACTAGTCCTGCTGAGTAGAGATCCGTGTTATATGCAGGTAGACAATTCGTATTCCGCTGCGATTCCATTTGTGGCGCAGCCACAAGAAAACAGCTTTCAAATTGGTGTATCATTTGTTAGCACATCGGCTGATTGTCCTGCTCGTAGGGGAGGTTTCGAGTTTCATTTGATCGCGGCTTTTTCTATTTTATGCATGATGGTGTAGATTCATTTATAGCAATTTTACAGTTAAGTCTTAAACAAGAGAATATCAACTTTTGATATTCTCTTGGTCTTGAAGGAATGTTGAAATATTCCATTCTCGACATGAAAAAATTAAATTTTTGGTATTCAATCGATAATAGAAAATAAGCAACTGAGAAGTGTCAAATAACCATCTTCACATGAATCCGCCGGAGCCGTTGAGTTTTATCAATCGAGTTCAACTCGTGTGAGAAACTTCCATTTGGATAGCTTTCTGCTCCAAAAAAAAAACCCGTCAAAGAAAAAAAAATGGCTGGGGAAAATTAATAAGATAAATTAACGCAAAAATATTCAATGGGAAATGCTCCCACAAACTTCATCCCCTCCTCTGGCTCACCTTTAAAACCATGGGCGTCTCCTCTTTAATTTTTGGCCACAATTCAGTCAAGTTTTCACACTTTTACCGGTTGTTTAAGTTTTTTTGCCTTCAGAAATATCTGCAAAATGGTCTTGATTTGCATACCTCATAACGTATTTTAGAAAAGAAATTTTCCAAATTTCGCAGCGAGTTTGGGTATTGCAAAAAAAAAAAAAAAAAAAAAAAA